AAAACACGACATTAATTTCTTGACAGCCTAATACATTACTCGTTAAAAACATTGTTAGACTAGACAAGAGATAAAATTAACTACTTACAAGAAGTTTATATAACAAATATTTGCAAGACTGTAGTATGGCCATTCTGGATCCAGAGGTGCAGCAGAAATCCTGGGCAATTCTGGATCAGTTGAAGAGAATTACAGGATAGCCAAATAAATCATAACCAAAATGACAGTATTTTAATACTATTTAATTAGTATAATTATGACTCATCAAGAAGTTCAGCTTGCTCAATTCTGCACGTGATTCTTTTAATTCAGTTGGGACTTTTGCAACCTTCTATTAAACCAAAACTATAACTATGTGTTAACTGGTTTGTAAAGAGCTATTTCAGGTAATTATCTGTCAGTATATGTCAGATATCTGAACCCATTAACTTGGAAAGTATGGATACAACCAATTAAATTCAGTCTTTTTACACATATTTTTCCACTTGTTGCTTTCTCCTAATGTTATGTATGGTGCTAATGAGCAGAACCAGTAGCTGCTGCTTCTCATGTTACACTCTGGAATGTGTTTCCAGTTAACTTGTGTAATGTATTTTAAGTTTGTCCTATCCTTATTTGGAATCTTGCTCGCTGGTTGGCATCAGATGTTTTTTATAGCAGACTGATTAGGTTAATGGTTTCCTATTATGTATTTTCAATTACTGTATTTCTTCAATTGCTCTCAAAGTTTCAAAACTTCTAACATTTGTAATTTTAGCAAATCCTTCACGACTATTTCCTAAATCAGCAGTCAAGTTTCTTGACCATTCAAGTTACCATATTTAGTATATTCCAGAATTAGAGCTTAGGAAAACTTGAAACTTTTGTGGATGAGAAATAAACACTATAGGAGAGTAAGATATGTAGGATTTGCATATTATAATTAAAACACAATTATGATGTGTGTATGTGTGTTAGATAAATTATGAAAGACTTTATGATTTGTAATAACAATTGTATAGTAATACTAATACTTAAATTATCTTAATTTTTTTATTTATTTTAACTTTTTTGAAATAATTTGAGACAATGAAATATAAATATATTAAATGTATGTTTGTTTGTTTACCCCAAAACTACTAAGTCTATCTACCACCAACCATAATTTTAAATTCCTAACTAAAAGGAAGTCATCCAGCTGGCAGCATCCACCACCAAATTTTGGGCTACTTTTCTACTAACAAACATTGGAATATACTGTTCATTATCTCACACACACAGCTTAAAGGGCAGATATGTTTGTCATCGAATTTTGATTCTCCAACCCACAGATTGTGAGTCAAGCTCCCTAACAATCTAATAGAAAAATGACAATTATGGTTAGTGTTGAAAGGATCAGTGGATTTTGCAGTTGGAAGATTCATTACTCTTATGCAAATTGTACTTAAATATTCAAAAATAAAAATAATGAAAATATGATACACAATTTTTGTATATTTATGGTACCTTTTTTTACTGTAAGCTGAAAGCTATTATCCAAAATGTTAGTAACAAAATGTACAGATTGTGTAAAAAAGTGTTCAAAGATACTTAGTATTGGCTTCATCATCAAATTCACTTCCATGTAGGATTATATAGATATCATTCAAAATGATCATGCCATTATGCACTCTATACAATATATAACTCAGGTCATATTATTGTCAACTCTGCTGTGTCACACTTAGCCCTTTTTAAATTGCCATTTCATTTAGTTTTTAATGCTGTCTAAAACATTTGCCAAGAGTTAGCACCACGTTTGTATTTATTTATATTTAGTATCATTATTTTCTTTGTTCATATATTTTAGGCACAGGAAAAAATTCCTTTACAATCTCACAAAATATTTGTATCTGTTACATGATCCGAGTTGTTTTACCTAAAAATTTATTCGCCGGATTCTATTCTTCCAAATTTCATTATACTCAATATGTTGATGAGAATGCGTATATTATCCAGCTGTATTTAGTTACGTAAACATTCAGTAGAAATCATCTTTATTATACTGTGTATCAATGGTTATTCTTCTTAGTTAAATTCAAGCTTCGAGTCAATTGCTGGATTTATGGATACTCTTCATGGATGGGGTGAGGGATCGAATGGACTGAACTATCTGTTACAGCGACGGGATGTCGTGGACAAAATGAAAGTAGGTATTGGTTAATGTGATGGATACAACTAGTATCTTATCATATATTTTATTATTTACCTTCAGATCAGTTGATATTGAAGCTTCACGTGAAGTTTTAATTAAAATGAAATATTAATTGTTTTATAAAAACCGTGTTAATATATATTAAGGAACTTCCGAAGAT